ACCCACACCAAGAAGCCAATGGAAATTTCTTCAAGGTTTCTTACGCGGTTGTTCACTGAAGGGAGCAAGACCAGACACCTTTAAGAAATCCCTATTCTGCAGTGCTGGTTGATGAAGCAAAAGCAGTAACATACAGAAAATCGTGGATTCCCATGAAAATGGCACCCTGCTGCTGGATCACACGCATCAGCCACCAGTGGCATGAGTTGCACTGTTGCCAGGAAAACGACTTGCAAAGGGATGGAAAAAATGCAAAAGTTTCATTTAGCTTACACAAACAGCTGACTTCTTAATTATTTTTGCTTCCTTCAGATAAGATTTCTGTTCGGCAAGACAGAGATGAGCCAGCAAGCACAGAGATCATCTTTGCTGCAGGAGGGGAAGCCCGTGGTCAGAAGCAGCTCTGGGGGTGGTTCTGGCAAACACCCGCTCCATCCAAATGGGTATGGGAATTCCTTCCCACCCCCAGTGCACGGGAAGAATTGCACCACAGAAAACTACAGTTTGTAAGATGCACGCTGGAGGTCCCTTGCTTAGCAAGACTTAATCGAAATGTATAAAAAGTACCCTCCCCAAAAAAAGGAATACTGTACAAGGAAACTATTTTAAACTTCATTATAATGAATGAAGATGAAATTTTAATCACAGGCCTGGAAGCTGGCTTTTGCCTTAAGAATAGTAATAATTACCAGATTTCATTCAATATGAGCAAACAGAAGAGAGTCATTTGAAATGGCTAAATTGCCATTAACTTTTTACTCGCAGTATTACTCAGTTAAGACAAAAAAGGGAATGAGAAGATGAATCATTTAAAATACTTAATAGGTGCCCTATATGCCACATTTCCATAATTAAAACTGGGCCATCATAGCTACGTATCCATTAGAGTTCACTCAAGGAAGAGATTTAAGAACACAGAAGTAACGTATATCAAACAGAAAATGATAAAACCAGACAGGCATCAATAGAAAAATTACAAGTCTCGAAATGTCTCCAAGTCACCGAAGGAAAAGGTTTTGGAAAAACTCCCCAATGACAGGACTAAAAGAAAATACTGTATAATGGAGTAAGTCCTTAGAAGGGGAAAGACAAAGTAAATAGTGCAGAAAAGGCTATTGTTTTATAAAAAGATGTAGGATGATCCCAAAGTATCTTTTCAGAAATTACTAAGGGTCATCTGAGATTTAAGGTGAGCTGTTTTTCAGTCCACAAGTAACTGATTTAATGTACATATGCTAATCAGGCATTAATCAGCATTTTAACATGTACCTGACACCTTTAAAAGCGCTGAGACTGAACACGTTTTATTTGCTGATGTTCTTTTTAAAAATTGCTGAAATACAAAGGAAGTTCCAGAAGTCTTAAGGACTTGCTGAAAACAGGCTGATATTTTAAACCATCAAGCTGTGTGTTCTAGGCACCTACATACCCATTAACCTTCCATCAACCGCAAGCCAAACAATGGTAGAGCTGATGGGATCCTATTAATAAAGTATTCAAGGGTTGAGATTCAATTAATGATGATCAACAGAGTTCCAGGAAAATTAGTTTTCAGCATCAAACGGCATGACTTCATTCTCTGATGAGATTAAAAGTTTTCCTGAGAAAGACAACTTTGTAAAGGCAGTAAACTTTCACAGTGTATTTGGCTTTTTATGTACGAGACACTGATGTATTAACTGGTGCCATAAACTTCATTAGAACACAGACTACATGGATTAAGAACTATTTAGAAGGTGCACCTTCGACAGCCAGCTATGGGGACTATTAATTAAATAGCAATAGCTGTTATGGGGTCTGCCATAATTTGAACTATGGCTGGCACTTTTCATATTTATTGAATATCTAGAAGGATTTATAAATCAACCACTGGTAATTACTGAGGATAAGCATAAGAGTGGCAGATAGCTATGGGCTATCACACAGACAACACACTACATCATTTGTGTGATTACAATGCTTTCAGATGAAATATGTTTGAATGCAAGGAAATGTAATTGATTAAGAAGAGATGGGGAAAAGTGCATCTCCATGGGAGCAACTGTTTGCTGGAGCACCACAAATATGAAAGGTAGATCCAGGTATGTCAGGTCCCTCTTTAAGCCCCGCAAGCCTTGTCACTGGAAGCAGCTAAGAGCCTGTTGTTTCTCTCCTGAGATTTCACAAGACATCATTCATTACTGAATGATTATTAAATGACAATATTTTTTTTTTCCAGTTCAGTACCTGATATTTTGGTAATAGCTTGAGTTGGAAAAAGATTTGGTTTAAGGATTAATAGTGACGACTGCCATTGCCATCTGTGAGTGTTAGCAGGTATTTTAATGTGAATTCTCTTGTGATCTTAGCAGAAGCATGTTTGATGAGACATTACACATATTTCTATAAACAGAGCTTAAGAACTTGTTTCACCGGGCGCAGAAAAACTTTCAAAAGCTAGATCAAGCATCAGCCTTGCAATTTGCAAGCCTTTGTTTAAAAAAAAAAAAAAAAAAAAAAAAAAAGGCATTCTTGATGGCCTCTCAGAACAAAGGACCCTCTAAAGAAGGACGCATGCTCCTCTTGTTCTGAATAGGAAATTACTGTACAGCAAGACAAACAAGACTTAAAGACTGTAGTTTAGTTGAGGACTCCAATTCAGGCAAGCTAAAAAGAAAATTGTACAGGTACGTGGTGCACAGCACAAGCATAAGTTTCATTATGCTAAGCCGTTCACTTAAAGTATAAAAAAATACTCTTAAGCACCAACTTTTTTTGGGGGTGTTAAGAATATCCTGAGCTAATTTGTGGGTTAGGTATGGCTTCGGCAGTTTCTTACTGTCACAGGATGTATGAGCATAAAAGAGTATGAGAGGTGCTTTGCACCCTGTGTTTAACAGCTACATGTGGTCACTGCGAAAGACAAAGCTAGGCTCCACCACATGATATTTTCTGCCTCAGCCGAACAAAAACACAGAGAAAGCTATTAGAGGAATCACTAGATTGTAATAACGGTCCTTCAGAACTTAAAAACCCGTGTAAGTGCGTGCAAAGGGTTGAGGTTTGGAGGGTGAGACACTTGCAAAGGCTCAGCCGTGAAACAACCAAACTATTCTCGCACCGCTTCATCAGTGGCCACCACAGTGAAGTGAAGCACCCTGCAGCACGTAGCTTTAAGATCAAGGAGGTAAACGTGCACATATGCTAGGACATGTCTCTGCTCCTTCACTTAAACACATTTCTGTTGGATATAAATAAAAATATGCTTATTAGGAAAAATTTTTTCACTGAAAGGGTTATCAGGCATTGGAATGGACTGCCCAGGGAGGTGGTTGAGGCACCATCCCTGGAGGTGTTCAAAAGACGGGTTGATGTAGTGCTGGGAGGTATGGTTTAGTGATGGTGATGCTTCTTGTTTGTTGTGTGGGTGTCTATTTTTGTCAGTTAGGTTGACGGTTGGACAAGATGATCTTTAGGGTCCCTTCCAACCTAGAAGATTCTGTGATTCTGTGATTTACATCAAGTAAATACTGTCCACACTTTACACAAACACTTGATATGTTCACAACAGAAACGCAATTCTTTCATAAAGTAGCTTTTAGACAAAATACATATATTTTAAACAACATAAATCCATATAAAAGGAGCTTAAAGTCACATTTGGGATTTTTATTTTAACTAGTTAACTGATGTTAGAGCTTATTCTTTAAAGAAATCTTTGAAAAGGCATAATCACATTTGCTGGCACTGTAACAAGTATATTCCAAGAGTATCTGTAGAAATACGCACATTACATTCCCAACCTGAAACCCATCAAGTCTACTAAATTTATACCAATGGTTTTAAATATTGCCGCAGCAAATCTTGCTATAACCTTGTTTGCCTGCCCCCTGTCCTGTAGTCCTGTTACTGTGTACTTTATGGCAGCTCAGCAACAAGGGACAACGTAACGAAGAAGTGACAAAGAAACCTAACCTGTTAGACACAACGCTAGCACAGGACACCTGCAATAAGCCTACATGAACTATTGCCATGTTATTTTTAAGTGAACCTTTTTACTTTCTACCAAATCCAATCCCAAATTCTAATTTTTCTTTTGGAAGAGTCAGTATTTTCTACAGCAAACTGCAACAGAACAAGTTTTCCCTATGTCAGACTTCACAAAACACAGGCAAAAATCAAAACACAAGTAAAAAGTAACCTCAAAACACGTCCAGGTGCATATCTGTTTCTGTTTTATTCATTACATCCCAAAATACCGCCAGTAGGGTTTTTTTTGCTTCTATATGTAAAATGATCACTTATTGCTATGTTTATCCTTTTCTAGCCATATGCAAAGCCCTTTATCATTTAGCAAGTTAAAGTCACTAAAGAGCATTGCGAAAATAAAAAAAATCATGTCACCAGACTTCCAATTTATTTCTTCAAAATACACTCAGAATTTTTCAAAGGTGTATTACTTCATGTGTATGAAACACAGTTGCGAAGAATTTATGTTCAAGTATAGAACAGAGTACATATTAAGGACTTGGAAGCAGAAGGAACATCTTAGACCACAGAAACTTAACCTCTGATATTTCACATAGCCACACTGTACAATCCCATTCGCAAAGTGATTTAGCTTTGCTATGATAGCTCTGCTGAACAATCCAGTTTACATCCTTCTGCTTTTGAGTGAGAGGACTTGGCATAAGAGGAGAGGAATCAGCAGTTGATATCTCAATGAAAACACACTTCTTCAGCCACTGAAAATACACAGTCTCTGACAAACTGGAACAAAAATAACGTCTTATTCTCCTGGACGTGACGTGAGAAAACCTGTTACAGATTTTTCCACATGATCCTTCCCCCACCCCTGCCAGCTCTCTCCCTCCCTCCTCCATCATCCACCATGTCATCTCAGACTAAGGATTCAGAAAATCCAAACGAGCATGTTAAAAAAATATTTACAAGCACATTACATTCCCAATCTGATACCCATCAAATCTATTAAACTTCTTCCAAAATACAAAAGGACTTACCCAATGTGTCTTTTAGATTTTTAACCAGAGAACCTTTCTTCAAGCTGTTTTTTCGCTCCACATAATTTGATGGCACATATCCCGTTTTGTTGGCCGCGTTTCTTACCCTCCACCATGTCTTGGAATCATCTAATAGCCAAAGACGCTCATTTTTCTTGATGTCAAGTTCTTGGTCCTGCTGTGCAGTGTAATCCCACTTTGCAATAACAATAACTTCTTCTGTCATCTTTCATGGAGTCCTTCTGCAAGAAAATATTAAAAGATGCTAATCTGTAAATTATATCATGCAATTCTTACTCAATTTTTTCTTTGAATGTTTCTGAAATAAGCAAGAAAAGTGTAGGGAAAAATGAAAAAGGCGTATAGAGAAAACCTCATAGATTAGAACTCTTCTTTTAAAAATAAGGGAAGTCATATTGACCTTTCTTGCTTTTTCTGCCATTAAAACATGACAACACCTAGATAGCAGATTCATTAAAAAGTCATAATGTATTATGTTCACTTCCTCTGATTATATATATTATTCAGATATACATTAACAAAGGCTAATTTATAAAACCCATTCAGCTTTTGCACAGAGCAGTATAAAACTACCTCACACCTGGCAATCAAAGTTCTGATCTGAGAAAAAAAAAAAAAAGTAGCATTCCAAAAATATATTTTCCTTCTGCCCTAGTTCCTCATACTAACACATTATTTAGATGGTTTTTTGGGGTTTTTTTGTATTTAAACAAAGCTATCCATCCTTTTTTTTTTTTAGGAATTTAAAAATACTTCAAGATGTAACTCAGCAGAGAAATGTGCCAGCAAGAAGGCGTTGTCTAGTAAGTCCTCGTTCACAATGTTTTGTGCAGGCAGCACAAGGGTATGTTTTAGAGGAAAGCCTTCATGCCTGGGAAGATCCCAGCTCACCACAGCGCTGTGCCAGGCAGGAGTCAGTGGGGTGAGGAGTACCCAACTGCGCTTTCCTTGATTGCATTTAATTTCTTCCCTACCCAAAACTAACCCAGAGTTCCGTTAACACTGATTGAGTTGTCTTTTTTCACTTAACCTGTAACAAGAATGATCTTTTCCAAAGCTATTTGACAGCTGCATAAAGACAGCTACATGCCTCCACATTTTCCTACGCATCCCAGTAACTACTGGGAACAATGTGAGGGAGTACAATAGCGTGGAAGGAAAAGTCCCATGCCAGTACCAGTGACATTCAAACATTTTATAATGCCAACCAAAACATGTTGATTTTATCCTCTAAGTTCTGAAAAGTTATCTAAAATTTTCTAATCGCTGCTGGAGGTTTTTTGAAGGAGAAGGAAGTGAAGGAGGATGGGAGAGAGAGAGGTGAGAATCTATTTGAAAAATCAATTTAGCAGATTTTTTTTATTTAATTTTTTTTTTTTTTTAAGTAAAAGCTGTAGATTTCTTTTAGAGTACAGAATAGTGGAAACAACTCCCAGAGTACTTTAAACTATTTATGTCCAAGGATCTTTTTAACATGATTTGACTTTGTTGCCCAGTTCTTAGCAGTCCACAACCCTATGAACTCTGATATCTAATATCTTAGTGACAGAAAAATAATTGAAAAAAAACCCCAAACCTCATTCAGAAATTCTGTTCAGCATGTAAGTTATATCACCTATATTCAGAAAGGGTTCCTTCTGCAGTCCATAAACACAAGCACACACATTTTCTCCCTTTAGCTACAGTACAAGCTGTGAAAACTACATGCTAGACAGCCCAGCAGTCTACCCTTTCAAAGAAAAAAAAGTGTTTTCCTTATTTAACCTATAGTTGTAAGACGCAGCAGTGGACTCTATAATAATTTAATAGCCTCCTCTTACAATTTTTGTTTCCAGGAGAGCATCATACAGGATTGAGGTATGGTTGCTAAACAATTTGACAGCAAAGCTCTGGAAAGCACCAGCAGCATCACCCCTCGTGGCCAAGGCAGGATGACATTTTCGAAAATCTGAAGCTGAAATCAACAGGCTTAACTTCTCATTTTCCATTTAGAAAACAAAAAGGAACACACAACAATTAAAACAATATTCAAATGTGGGTTTGCATAGCTTAGAGTCCCAAGCTGAATTCAGGAACAAGTAACAATGTTTTAAATAACTGAGAAGAAACACAACCCTTACAGTACAAACAGGCTGTGACTTATGCAGGTGGAATTGATGAGTTTACAAGAAATAAGTCACTATACTCTTCAACATTTTTTTCCCCATAAAATAATAATCCCATCTGGCAATGACATAGGAGAGCCTGAGCTTTGGACTGCAGTCTCCAATAAACTGCCCTGGTTTCTGACTCACATAAAACGGACAGATAGCCTACAGGTCGATAAGCTGATGTAGCCACAGGGGGACCGCAATCAAGCACGTTCTGGAGGCCAGCATTGTCAATATGATCTCTCTCTCCAGTTTAGATCAGTTTATTTTATCTCAGCAATTGTAAAATAGTCAATTCTTACTACTCCTGAGGACGTGGAGAACATAAAGAACGCAGTTACCTGATGTTGCCACCAGACAGGCTCCACTTCTGAAAAAAAGGTTATTCCCACAACACAGGACACAGTTAAACATACTGTATCAGTGTTACAGTATATTAATAATAAGAACACATTAGGTGGAATATTTGACTAGTGACTGAAAGCTTTTAAATTCTTCCTATCCCTCTGAAGGGAAAAAAAAAAAAAAAAACAAACACAGCACAGCAAAAAAACCTGGCCCGTTGTAAGAGTCACCAAGTGTTTCCCCAAGATGTTGGGCAAGGACAGAAGCACAGGAAGAGACCACACGTCAGGGCTGATGACTGCAACTACACAGTCCTCAGAAATTCACTCAGGACAAGGAGCCCCAAGCTACTTGATTTCTACAATTCCAGTTATTGTCAACATGCGAAACTGCCACTCTGCATGGGAAACGATGTCATTTCACAAGCAGACCCCTCGCATGATGCAATTTTGGCAGAACCACAGGGAAGCCAAGTTTCTCAAGTGGCACCCTCACATAGAACCCATTTCAGTAAAATACTCCAGGTTTTGCTGAACGTTTAAGGGCACAAGTACTCCTACTCAAGCGGGGACAGGATTTATAAGGAGGCAAAATGCATCATATAGTTGCAGCTAAGCATTTGTTATTTGAAGCTGTATGCGTGTGCGTGGAGGAGTTTGGTTGGGTGGTGGGGTTTTTTGTTTGTTTGCTTAATGGGGGAACTAGTGCTAAAGTTCTTAAAATTACTTTCTTCTGATTACATCATTAGACTGGCTCCATCAAGGACAATAAGGTTCTTCCTGTGACATTTGCAGAGCTAAGATTTCCTTATATATGAATAAGAACACATTTGTTCCCCGGAAGGGGGGCTGTAGAATTAATAGTTTTGAAATGCTTCTGCAACACAGCTGTGCGCCAAACAAAAGATTAGAAGAAAACGACATAACTAGATTTGAGGAAAAACATTAGAAAAAAAACCCAGTTACTCAACCTTCCAAAGCATCTGAGTGTCCCATAAAAGCTTAACATGCACTCAAAGCTTGAAATTTCTTAACTAGACCGCTTATAGACTGCACAACAAAAAATACCAGAGTCCCCACAGATTCTAATGTTAACATGAGACTCCTTCACATCAAGACAACGAAAATCCATTACTGCTAAGAGTGTATAACCTTCTGGCATGTTCCTCCTCAAAAAGGTCAAAAGTCCTAGCACTGAAATTCAGAGTCTTTGCCTCATACCTGATAGAATAACACCCCCCATTTGTTTTAAAGTGCCAGTGAAAAGCTTAGAAACACCTGTGTAAGGAACTGTAAATTTAGGAAATGCAACACAGCCATTTCTCAGTACAAGACTGTTTCACTTTAAAAAGTGTACGTATGGCCTTGGCTTTTAACTTACTGTATTCAAGCAGTCATTTGCTTTACTTTTATGGCAATCCAAGTTCCAACTTCAGGTTTGTTTTTTTTTTTTTAAAAAAAATAAACACAAACAAACAAACAAAAAAAAACCCCAAAGCCAAAGATACCACAGTAAACACGCAAACAAACAAAGCTCCGTAACCCAGACCTTCAAAAGGTAATTCTTACATTAACTCTGTGACCAATGCACACTTCCAAGCCCTTTTAAGCCAGCACTTCCTAGCAGTGGAAGAAAACTAATTTATTTTACCAACATTGACTTTGTTGAAATGTTACAACTAATTAGATTGAGCTCAGGTACTTTCAGCCACTTTGTTTCTTCTCTCCAATTTAGGTTTGGTTAAGAAAGGAGTCCCATCTTCAGTGGCAGCTGCCCTATTGCAGAAGCACACGTAAAATGTTCCAACACAAAAAACACACTCAGGAGAGGTAAAAACCGAAAAACCTGCCAGGCTAGGAAGGTAGCAAACAAAAACCCAGCCAAGGTGAAGCCAGTCCTGCTCAGACAGGAGAGAAACATTACCTAACCCCAAGACAGAACAAAGGCAAACGTGAGTGAAATATCTAGTACTGTAGCTCCTAGATAAACTTTTTTTTTTTTTTTACTTTCTTCTGATAAAGTGTATATCCAATAAACTGTCATTGATTCTAGAACTATCAATGGCAGAAAAAAAAAACCCTGCAAAGTCAAACAACCAGCTATGCTCTTTTGAACCAATGCTTAAAACTGAACCATGGAAACAATATTCAAGATTATGGAAATTTAGATGTAGAAGAACTTTAAAGAATTTGCTCACACAAACTTATAAATATACTAGTGATTTTGCATGGGAAATTTGATGTTATTTTAAATATCAAACTATATGTAATTGTTACTCAGATCTCATTCTCTTTTACCAGGCCTGGATTATTTTTTCCTTCCATATGTGTTTCTCCCACAATGATAAATAAGAAAGGATCCTTTCCAGCATGTCACCTGAGCTAGAATCTTCTCCGATAGACTGATAGAAGTAAACACTCCCACTATTTTAACATCCTGACCTAACAGACAGAAAAGCAGCATCTTTTCTGGCCTTCAGGAGGAAGATTCAGGGCTATGTCAGGGATAGGATTAGTTAGGATACTGCAAAAAGAAGGTATGGTTGATCTTTAAAGACACTGTAAGAAAAGAAGCAGTTGCTCTCCTAGTTCACAATTTATTTTGCAGAAAAGAAACATGGCTGAAAAATGACTGACAGTAATGCTTGAAATTTAATCCCTCACCAAGGGAACAAGTGAAAATTCTATTAATAGGAAGTGACAATTGATATAACAGACTGTTCCGGA